GAGAGAGAGAGAGAGGACATTGGTTAGTTATTCAAATTCTTTCCTCTGCACTGGGTTTTGGGCTGCTGCACCGGAAATGCTGGCCAGAGAGAGAGAGAGAGAGAGAGAGAGAGAGAGAGAGAGAGAGAGAGAGAGTTGGGGGATTCACAGGAAGAAGAACGAAGAGGAGCCCAACGAGGAGAGCAGTGGGTTCGTTTTGCGTGTTACGTCCACCAAACGTCGTGTGGTCATCTGGTAAATATCGCCGTAGACTGCTTAGCTGGCCAACTCAACTGGTCAGTTTGCGGATTCCATTTTGTTCGTCGACTAGACCAGCTTTCTTTTCCTTGTATATAATTGCGGTTTGTCCTGTTCGCTACCATCATCACTGAAACCCCACAGGAAAGCCCTTAGCGGTGAGTGTAGGGGCAAAAAATGTCTCAGAAACTTCTGGGGCCTCCTACCCAAGTGAAACCTTGTTGTGCGCCCCTCCTCGACCACGACAGTCTGCGAGGCACTTGACATGTTTTCACTTGACATGGCTCTGCTTCTATGGCGAGTGAAAATGGGTTTTCACTTTTTGTCCGATGAAACGATGACATGTTTTCACTTGACATGCCTCTGCTTCTATGGCGAGGGGAAGTCCGGAGGGGGTTGGTTATTAGGGCCAACTTGTGTTGATTGTGACTAAGGAACAGTGAAGGAAGCTGTGAGTAGTGGATCTGGCAACGTCAAGACCCCCGGGCCCTTCGTATCTTTGACTTATGGTCCCTGGTCCCAGTTCCAGTTGTCCCAGTTCCAGTCGCCGATGACTCCTTTGGGTATGGTAGCATAGTGAGTGGAGGATTGAAGTGTGCCAACAACAGTTCCCCGTGCTTGCGGGTATACTATGCCGGGTTACCCGCATACTATGTGGATGCGCTTGTAAATAATGAACAACAGAATAAAGTATTATCGTGTATCTTTATGCAATAATCGACTGCTATGGTGTGTCCGATGTGTCGGTTATGGAATGTGATTAGTACAGCATCTTCCCCATGTTCTCCATCATCTTCCTTCTTCTGCTCTCCCCCCCCCCCCCGCCTTCCTGGTACACCCTCTTGCCCCCAGCCCCCCACTGCCCTCCTCCTTCCCAACTCTCCCCTCTTCCCACTTTTCCCCTCCTGCTTCTCCCCTCCTCCTACTTTCTCCCTTGTCCCACTTCCCCCCTCATCCTCGTCCCCTCGCTCCTGCTTCCCCACTCCACACTCCTCCCTCTTCCTCCTCATCCGCCATCCTGC